CGGCCATCTCGGTGGGCAGCGGCGGCCCGGGCTTGGGAGCACACCCGGGCCACCAGCCCAGCAGCGCGGGCCAGAGTCCGGACCTGGCGCACCACGCGGCCAGCCCCGCGGCCCTGCAGGGCCAGGTTTCCAGCCTGTCCCACCTGAACTCCTCGGGCTCGGACTACGGCACCATGTCCTGCTCCACCTTGCTATACGGTCGGACCTGGTGAGGGGCCACGGACCGCCCCAGTCCCGCGAGCCCCGCCTCACCGCTCCCGCCGCCTGCCTCACAGAGGAGCATCCGCCCGCTGCTCCACGCGCTTCGACTTTTCTGAAGGATCTGTCCCCATGTAGACCAAGGGCGGAAAACCCACAAAAGCCAAACTGCTGGGCGTCTTATTTCTTTCTTTCTTCCTTTTAAAAAAATTGTTTTGTTTTGTTTTTAAGAAAATAAAAACAACCATGCGAATCCAATTCTTTAAGGAGTCTTTAAACAGGACACAGAGAACAGCTTTGGGGGGTGTCTCTTAGGTAATTCGCCTGGGTTTCCCACGCCCAGGCGGGGCACAGTTTGGAGAGGGCTCTGCGCCGGCATGGCTTTGGACTTAAAGATCACAAACTTCACTCTGGGTGCACTCCACCAGCAAAGTGGACTCTCTTGTAAATACCAGGATTTCTATCGCAGCGGGGACGGGGTTGGGGAGAGGAAAGACTCTTCGACAGAACTCACTTGTCACTGACACAAAGGAAGAGCCCCCTCCCTGGCGCCCACCGGCCCGCCCAGGCTCGGGCTGGGACTCTGGCCCCAAGGAGAATTGTTTTATGTTTGATGTGAACTTGTAGCTGTAAAACGCTGTCAAAAGTTGGACTAAACGCCTAGTTTTTAGTATTCTGTATATTTTGTTGTAAAAAGAAATCCAGTCCCTGGCCCTAGCCCCTCACATTTTTTTATGGGCATTGACAAATCTGTGTATATTATTTGGCAGTTTGGTATTTACGGCGTCAGTCTTTTTCTGTTGTAACTTATGTAGATATTTGGCTTAAATATAGTTCTTAAGAAGCTTCTAATAAATTATACAAATTAAAAAGATCCTTTTTCTGATTAAAAAGCCTCCTTTGGTTTGGTTTTGATTTGAGTTTACATGACTCTTTTCGTAGTTAAGACGTCTCCTTCCTGGCTAGCTGGAATCAAATTGTTTAGGGACTGAAAGGACCAGGAATCAACTAAGAGGATCAGTTCAGGGGAGACTTGCCCTGTGCAGAGAAGGTATTTGGTTTAGAGAGGTTTGGGTGCTAGGAGTTGTCACCAGAGAGGAGAAAAGATCATTTACATCAGGGGGAAGAGGGAGAGACCAAAGAACAAATTTTCTGAGCCAAGCTTCTGATTTTGCAATCCCAGATGTACCTGCAGTGTGGTCACATACAGCTGAGCGAGCGCATGGCTAAAAACAGTGGGGGCACCTGATCACCCATTTTAAATAAGCCCTAATGAGCTAGATTTTGTTTGTAGAATACAGAACATGTCACCTCTGTAAATCTGGACATCAGATCTTTATTTCTAATCTGCCAGCTAGGTGCGAGGCTGGTTTTATGAGAGTAGCCCCCGGCATCATTAGAGTTGCGTTTTCTGCCTGCTCTAAAAGAGCGGTCTCTGAGGCGTTCAGTGTCCTGGCCTCTCTGGCCACGGGCAGTGTGGAACTGGGTCAGCGACTTGGGGATGCCGGCCAGGACTTTGTGGGTTGGGGGGTGGTTCTTTGTTCCACCTGTTTTCTACTCTGGGTTCAGAACTCTTTGCAGTAATGAATCTTTCTCCTGTCCCTAGGAAAACAAAAATAATTACCCCCCCC